AAACCTTATAGTTGGAAAGAAAGCTAGGACCACCAGCTGGAGATTTGGGAAACCTGGCAAAAGCGTTGGGAAGGCAAAATACTAGGGATGGCCAGCTTCATGCCGTACATACAACGGGGGGGAAAGGGGGATGTACTGTGGATAAAGCTATTGTATACATTATATGAGGACCGTCGTTTTGGTTTGTGGTAGCCAAAAATCAGCTCAACAGCTTTATCTCACCATCAGTCTTAGCTTGAGACTATGTACTGAACAAGCCCACTTCTTTGATGTCGCAGTAGAACTACACAGTGGATACAGAAATGCCACATTGTGCAGGGAACCTATAAACCACCAAGCATACCTACACACTTCCAGCTTCTCTCCAGAACGCAACACCAATATATTCTGTGGGCAGGCTCTACATTACAATCATGTTTGTTCTGACCCACTGGACAGAAATCCTCAGCCAATGGAATTAAACCAATCAGTCTGACGAAACTACCCACCCCACAAGAGCAATACACAAATCAAAGGAACTGGATAGATCTTGAGGAACAACCTATTAAAAGACAGGCTACAAAACACCACTGGTTCTTCCAATCTCTTTGTGTGTTTCCAATCCATCCCCCTCTTGCCATGATTTTCCTAGCCTACGTGCTCTGAAATCATTGAAAATACCTTATAAGAATAGCCAGTAATACATTTTTCAGATGTTAGCAGGGAGCCTTTTGTATGGCTAATCTGAAAACTAGGGAGGGTTCCTTCTGAAACACTTCCCATGCCTCCTCTCCTTCTGTGGGCTGAGATAGCTTTTACATGCTGCTTGTCCAGTTGGTAGCTCTCCATCCCATTTTCCAAGGTCATTCCCACATACCACTACCCATCTTTGAGCAATAGTAAAGCATTGGTTTAGCTCAGATTATGGAAGAAGAGCTTATCCTGAAATAATGGCCTCCTAAAGTTTCAGAATTTAAAGGGGGGGGGGGTCTGATTAAGATCAACCACAGCTGACTGGGTTCATACAACATGGTATCTCATAAATAACCATTTATAACATAATGGCTCAAAACGAGAGCCAGTTTGGTGTCACGGTTAAGGTGCTGGTCTAGAAACCAGGAGACCACGAGTTCTCTCTTAGGCACAGAACTTGGATGGGTGACTTTGGGGCAGTTTCTCTCTCTCTCTTACCCCAGCCTACCTCACAATGTTGTGAAGAAAATAGCAGGAAGGAGAATTATGTATGCCATACTGAAATGAACAACATAAAGGTAGGATATTAATCAAATAATTTATGGCTGGATATGTAGAACATGCAAAGCTGAAACTAAGGCAAGTACATTAGTGCTTAGTGTGAGATGTTATCCCAATCTGTATATGTTTCTGAGAGAGGTTTCTTCAAAGAAATAGTATGAATGAATATTGAACAGTATTAAAAATTGTGAAATCTTCTTCTCTCTCTCTATTTATGTGTATTTATACATTGCTGCTGTTAATGAAAGAGTAAAGTAGCCAAAAACGCTTCATGTGCCGGTGGCCATTTTTCAGCTGCTTCATTTCATGGTTGCTATATAATCATATTCCCCTCCTTTTTAAGAAGAGAAACATGTTACCCACACTACTTTCTCTTTTATTCAGCAATGATACATTCCTGTTTATAACTAAGAAAAGGCCAGCTGAATTCCATTCCTATATTAACTGTTTTCACTTGGGGAAAAAAAAGTCTACACAACATTGTGACTTTCTTCCATCCCTTTTCATCCAAGGCAACTCCATGCTGTTAATAGCTGCTCAGCAGATATAAAGATGTTTATTATCAAATGGACATGTAATATGTAATACGTAATATGAAAATGAAGGCTTAGAAATTGCAACTCTGCCAAATCATATAGTATTTGTCCTTGCGCTCTCTCCAAAAAGAAGAAATGATTCTAACCAGCAGCTCTTTTTTCATCCATTCCTGTTCTTTCTAGCTAGAAAAGCAGATTGTTAGAAAGGTGGAGGGCTTCTATGGATTTCCACAAAGCCAGAAAGAAGTAAACGGTATTGTGGAGTGACATGGCCTTCATTTAACAGTTCTGTTGCCACGTTATTTTCCATTTCTGCCAAAGTGTGTCCAATTCATATTCATATCAGTGTTCATTGGGGGGGAAAATGGAGTGGGGGGGGGGACTCTTCGGAAACGGCAGCTTTCATAGAACATTACAGTGTGAAGGATGAAACTTCAGATTTCTTTCACGTGTCCTTTATAAATCAGTTATGTTGGCTGTGCTCTGGAAGCTATTCAGTTTCTTCTTTCCTCTTCGTTTCTATGTCAATTTATTCCATCAGGTTGGTCGGCATTCCTTTGTATTCCACACCAGCAAGAGAGAGCTGCTATTATGAAGGACGTGGCATATTTCTCCTTACATTTTTCCATCCTTATCTTTAGCGTTGGTGCATTTATAGAGATTGCACTTTTTCTTTCATATATTTAATTTAGGAACCAGAATAGTTTCCAGGGGCTTTCTTAAGTTCTCTGCCTTAAAAAGTCTGCAAATATAAGGCAATAATTCTTCACCACTGAGTTCATTCAACTCTTATCACGTGGAGAAGAAAACCAATGTTTGTTTTGTTTTAGGAATGAGAGGCTCTCTTCTGAAATTTACCTCCAAATCAACTCTGAAGTACTTAGAGGAAGAAAGATAAAGGTTTGGGAATGAATATTGAATGTTATTGATAATTACTGGGAGGAGAAATACTCTTGTATTTCTGAGCTAGAGAAATTTCACAAAGAAGCCGAGGGGAAAGCCCTTCTGTTAGCCCTTCGAGGTAGTCCAGGCAAGAAGCACAACAATGAATGCTCTATCTTTATTGTAAGATTACATTAACAGAACCTTGCAATTCTAAAAGTACCCCTCCCATCCCTCACTTTTACTCTCCCAAAAACTAGGGAGGGTCCTTTCTGAGACACTTTCTCTACCCCCACCCTTCCCTCAGACTCAAATTTCGTTTATCAGACCATTGTCTAGGCTGCGGCTCTTCTTCCTGCCTCCCAAGGTCATCCCCACATACCATTACAATATCATAAAAACATTCTGCCAATTTCTGTTCATGGAAACACAGTTTGGCCAAGGATGCATAACATAGGTATCATT